CTTGGAAAGCCACAATATTTTAACTCAATCACATAGGTGATATTATTGTGGCACATCAGTAAAGCCTTACATATAAGGTGGCAGACGTAATTTAATGAATTTTAACTGAACAATAACTGAATGAGTTTATCTCACTCTTAGACCAGCAGGGGTACCAAATATATGCAGACTGCTGCAATAAGTACATTAATTAACTGTCTCATCGATGTTTGTCTGAATGAATATGATACTATTAACAATCATATTATTCCTATCAGCTGTATAAATAAATAATAATAAATAATAATAATAATAGATTTAATTTGTTAGCGCTTTTACAGGTGCTCAAAGACGCTTTACAGATATAGTGAAGAACTGTTATGATTCACATATTCATTTATTATTGAATAAACTATATTTATTTTTTGGAGGAGTTAATGATGAATGTTCATCAAGATGCTTGCTCACCCTCCTTCAAATTTGAAAAACAAGTAATTATATCATTATTGATATACAGTTACAACCTTGACTTTACATCAGAAAGAACAAACATTAAAGAAGTGACTAACTGCATCAGTTAGGGTTAAAAAACGTGTATTCAGATAAAACATCGCTGCAGTTATTATCCAGTGGAAGGTCCTTACCTACTGGCCTAGTTCAATCAAAGTGGTTACTTTCTGTTGGCTGGGCAGTGTAGTTTTACACACCGTCTTATTTTACTTTTTCAGGACTTAAAATTGTTTTTTTGGGGGCAGACCCCCTCAAGAAAAAAATATATACACGCATACAAGGTCATCATCTTAACAGTTTGTTATTCTCATCGAGTCATCCGTGAGCAGAGCATCAAGTTGGCATGTCTATTACAGCTGAATGCGGCAATTCCTATCTTGTTCAGCAAAACGCCTCACAAATGTATTAAGATCAACAGCTTTAGTGCGTTTTGATTCAATGCTGAGTACAGCCAAACTTGACATTCTCTTCTCTGTCAGTGTAGACCGCAAATACCTCATTCCTTCAGTCTACTTGAGTCCGAAAGGCTTCTCGTTTTGCGCCGTCCCGTTCAAATGAATTCACCACCAATCATATTTCCACTCTCGCGCCAGGACCGGGGGAGGGGTTACATGACGTGAATCTTGTGCTGCATTCACTTGCACTCGGACATTAGAGACTTTCTCTCATAAATGTCCGATGAGCAACAACTTTTCTTTCAAAACAAAGATGCCAACTGGGGTGGCAGCTGGGGTGGCAAGGCTATTGTTTAGGGTGGCAGTTGCCACACCATGCCACACCGGTAGATCAGCCACTGGTTCTGGGCCCTCTAAAAAGAAAAGACTTGTGTATTACAACAAACAGTGGGAAGAAAAAAAACAGTTGGGTAAAGACCGTGAGTGGAGATATGTCTCGGGTATTATGCGTGTGTGTGTGTGTGTGTGTGTGTGTGTGTGTGTGTGTGGTGTGTGTGTGTGTGGTGTGTGTGTGTGGTGTGTGTGTGTGTGTGTGTGTGTGTGTGTGTGTGTGTGTGTGTGTGTGTGTGTGTGTGTGTGTGTGTGTGTGTGTGTGTGTGTGTGTGTGTGAGAGAGAGAGAGTCAGTCAGCTGATTGATGGGGAAATGCTGGGGAAATGGTTGGTTGAAGGATAACATTAAGTCTAATAATGATGTACCGTGCATGTTCACATCATGTATACTTTCCATTACATAATACCATTTTTCAAATATTTATTTTTTAACATTTTGGACAAAATAGCCAATTGTACATCGAAGTGCCCAGATGTCCCTAGTGCCCACCTATCCGATTTGAACATGCTGATGTACAATGTGATGTAGTAGCCTAATGCAGGTGTAAGACCCCCAAAATAATTAAATAACATAACCCTAACCTAACCCTAACCCTAAAACCGAAACAAAGTAACAAAAAAGTAACTAAATCCGCCAGAAACCCGAAAATCTTCGCGCGCGGGGGACACATGCATGTGTCCCGTTTCTCCATTTCTGGAAGTTGGCAACCCTAATCCCTGCTAATAATATCATCAAAAGTAAAAATATAAACTTTATTCTCATACAGTTGCAGAAAATAAGACAAAATCAGATTCCTCGTAAAATGTATGCTTAATAAAAGGCAGGTTTCTCTTAACCAGTTAGGGTTAGGGCTTCTTAACATTTAACAAACTATGAATGTGTCATACCCACTTAACGGGAAGAAACTCAGCTATCAGCCAATATTAACCATTTTTAGCTAAACGAAACACAAAAGGGCCATATCAAGCCTCTGAATTAGCCCTGAGCGAAAAAATGCTAACGCACTTAGCACAGAACTCACGGTATAAATACTTTATTACTTATCAGATCTGCACAAACAAGATATCAGATTAAAGCTGAGATTCTAGAGGTATACGTATCATCACTGTGCGACCAAAACAGGGCAGCGAAGGCAAACCCAGACAACACACCACGTAGCTTTACGGAGCCAAAGCGGCAAATATGTCTTACCTTTGCTGTTTTTCTGATCAAAAGTTGTGTTCAATGGCGTCCTCTCCACTTTCAGAGGAAAGGTCAGAGGAACTCAAATACATGCTGGACTCCAGAGAGCATTCCGTGTCAGACCCCCCCTCGAAGTTTGTGTCTTCTTCAGATGAGTCCTGCAGCTCGCTGGCAGATGAAGGCAGCATGATTATTTCTAAAGTCTTCTTCATTTTTGTTCCTTCTCTTTGCTCCAGGTCTTTCTCCTTCTCTGCTCTCTAAAGAAATAAGCCCTTGGTCAAACTGCATGTTTGTCTTTGGCAGCTAGGTGCATAAACACACTAACAGTTGTTTTTGAGTAATCAAGCAGCTCTTCAAAGACACATCAAACACATCCCTCAAAAGACGCCCTTTTTTTACTCATGAAATGATCCGTGCATGCTTACATATCTCACACACGCGCACACGCACACACACACACACACACACACACACACACAGAGGGAGGAGAGTAGAGGTGTGTGCTGTTGTGCACAGGCCTAAGAAATAGTCTTTCTACCACCTGAGAGAGAGCACCAGGTCACATACTGCAGGACCTGCTGGTCTGCTGCTGGAAATGAAACACACACACACCACTCTCGGGCCCCCTGGTTGTCACACGGCTCCATAATATAACTGGCAAAAATGTAAGAATTTCATGCATCGGCCTACAGTGGGAAAATGGTTGAATCTGGTGTAGTAGACATTTCAAATATCACTACTTTTCTTCTAAATGAAATGCTGACATTACAAAATGCATGGTTTTATACTGCAATGGCAGTGAGATCAAAAAATGTGGTTTGAATGGAAGTCAATTAGGCATTTTTGTCCACGAAGGTGTCCAGAGGTAGTATCTGACACTACGTAAAAAATAATAATTCAGTCAAATCAACTTTGTTGCTAATCTTTGACATATCCAAGACTCTAATAATCACCAACGTTTTGAGCACGTTAGAAGTTGTTTAAGAGATTCATGAAAAAAACAGGATGACAAAATATTGATGCATGGATTTAATAGCAGTTTTTTGGGCGTGTACATTTTTGCCACTAAGGTGTCTAGAGGTTGCAAAATGCATCACGAGAGTATATAAAACATGTAAGAGCAAACGACAATGGATTTAAAAAGATGCAAAATGCCATGCCAAAAGCTGTAACACAGCTGAAATTATCACTAAATAAAAATTAAAAAAGTCGGGGGAAATGCCTGAGGAGGGCATAAGGGTTAATAGAGACAATCCAAAACAAAATGAATGGACTGTTATCAGGCCACATTAGTTGTATTTTGTGAGACTTACATTAGGTTACTTGAATGGTTTAAAAGGTCATTTCTAATTGCAATGGAAGACACTTTAAAAGTAGTACTCCTACCCCGAGTACTAGGGGTAGGAGTACTACTAGGGGTAGGAGTACTACTAGGCGTAAGCTTGGTAAATCTTTTCAACCATTATGTTGAAAATATTTACCAAGCTTTGAATGTAGTGGCCTGTCTCCTGTGTGGATTCTCTGGTGTCTCTCAAGTAATGAACTATAGTTACAATCTTTTCTACATTTGTTATATTTTAAAGGCTGTTAACCCGAGTCAGTAACAGTGTTAAACAGTAACAGTGCAACTCTGACAAATTTGTGTTGTTTACATTATTATATTGAACTTATGGACGTTGATTCTGTTGTTTTGGCTCTGCATGTCCAGTTGACCCTGGTCCTGTCTCATTTCTGGGATTCCCCTCCTCGACTCCTATCCTCGTGTCTTAGTCCCGCCCACAGGAGATGCGAGCGGAGGAGTCGAGGAGAGAGGAGGGGAAGCAGCAGGCGGTTAGAGAAATGAGAACTCCTCTCCTCTGAGCGGTCATTTTAAAGAGACGTCCATTAATGATGACAGGAGGCACAGCAGCACTCTGTCTGATGGACAGATGTGTTCATGACCACTTATATATTTACTTTGATTCATTCACAGTGCGGTATAATGAGACAATAACAGGCTACAGATCCGGACACACACACACATATATATGTATATATTTATATAAATATATACAATTTCAGAATCAAACAAGTATGAGAGCACTCTCATAATAACGTAACACTATCCGAGACTGGATATATCCCACCCCCTCTCCCCCCTCTGGTCGCTACAATGAGGAAAATAAATTACGGGTGGAATGTTTTATTTATGTACAAGTATTAAAAGTAAGCAGAGGACACCAAACCAACTGAGACCTGTCTGTCCGCTGCATCTACGCACACACTGTACCACACACACCTACAGCTCCTAAAGCATATAATCAGGCTACAGCCGTTGTGTACTTTATTATGTGAAGCACTTTTTAGAAAAATATTGACTCTTTGTTTGTAGATATCTACTAAACTAAAGCAAATAAAGAGAGTAGGCCTGTTATACTGAGTGATATATATTATACACACTGCTCTGCTTTCTGCACGGACCTCACAGCTGTTCTCTCTGTAAACATCGCGTCGCGATGAAAGCAGTTAATAAAATCATATCCAGGGGATGCATGCAGAGCTGTCATTGGCTGAGATAAGTCCGGCAGTGCGTCACGACTCTTTTAAACATCTCTGTTGCCGGAAATGCATCCACTTGAGAGGACCGTGGAGGACACATCCTCGATTATAGCTCCTCTAGAGAGCCTCCTCGACGCTCGATCCTCCAAGTGCATTTAGAGAAATTAGATGTCCTTCAACATGGCGCACTGAAATTCATTTACGGGTCACTACTGGAGGAGTCGAGGAGGGGAAATCCCAGAAATAAGACACGGCCCCAGAGTCTTGCTCGCCTCCTTCCTGATCTTGGCTCTCAGCTACATGAGAGTTGTGAGGGAGGAACTGGTGCTCACCCTCCTCCTCAGTAGCAGTCAACATGAAGGCATCAGTGTCCTGCTCCAGTCCAAGCTGCTCTCCCTCCGGACTGGTGCACAGCTCCTCCTGCTCCTCTTCAATCAGTGGAGGCTCTGTGCTGCAGGGATTCAACGTTTCCCCTGTGTGTGTTCCTGTGTGGCTTCCCAAGTTACTACTGAATATGGCATTTTTACCGGACACGTTTCCCACATGTTTTGCAAGATCATGGCTTCCCCTCATGTGGAATTTCAGATGATTTTTCAAAGCTGATGATCGACAGAAACCTTGTCCACACATTTGACACGAAAATGGCTTCTCCCCTGTGTGAATTCTCACATGCTCTTTCAAGTGACTATTTTTTTTGAAAGCTTTCCCACACATTTGGCAGGAAAATGGCTTCTCCCCTGTGTGGATTCTCATATGCGCTATCAAGTTACTATTTTGTCTGAACGTTTTCCCACACATTTGGCATGAATATGGCCTCTCACCTGTGTGGATTCTTGTATGAATGATTAATTCTGATTTATTAGCAAATATTTTCTCACAAATGTTGCAAGAAAGTGTTTTTTTTATTGTGTGGATTTTCAGATGTTTGTCCAGTGATGATTTTTCCTGGAAATACATTCCATATGTATCACATTTTAAAGACTGTTGAGTATCACTGTGCATCTCTGACAAGTTCATGTTGTTTACATCTTTACTTTGACTTTTGCCTTTGTGATGTGGTTTTGGCTCTGCATGTCCAGTTGATCCTGAGTCTTGCTCGCCTCCTTCCTGATCTTGGCTCTCAGCTACATGAGAGTTGTGAGAGAAGAGCTGGTGCTCACTTTCCTCCTTGGTAGCAGTCAACATGAAGGCATCAGTGTCCTGCTCCAGTCCAAGCTGCTCTCCCTCCGGACTGGTGCACAGCTCCTCCTGCTCCTCTTTAATCTGTGGAGGCTCTGGGTCCTCTTGGTCCAGACTGGAGTTCCTCTCCTGAATACAGAGCTCAGAGAGAACCTGCTCCTCACAGACAGGATGCTGTGGGAGCTCTGGAGGGACAGAGAACACATAACATAGGATAATGCTGTACACATAATGGAACTTAAGTAAAAGCAACGTTGCGAATGTCTATGTTTTCTGTTAATGCAGTTAGTACGTGTTACCTACCTATCCTGTGTATATTTATTTCCGGTTTCAAAACGACATCCAGCAGTCTCCGCTGCCGTCTGATCTCCTCCTCGTAATTTACGATAGTTTTCTGAAAAACTGCAAATATTTCTTCAGCAGCAGCAGAGAGTCGCTCGTTAACAAACTCTCTCAAAAAGTCAACTGAAGACATTGTGGCCATAATAGAAGTGATTGTTTCACCACATGAAAATAATACAACATTAGTTGACTCAATACATCGAAAGCGCTGAGCTAACGGTAAAAGCGTTTATTGTTTACTTCCGCTGCATGTTTTCTTCTTCTACTTCTTATTTAATTGGCATTTGTGAGCAACGATGTAGTGGTTTACCGCCCCCTACTGGGCTGGAGTGTACAGAAGTCAGGATTAATAATAAAAACTGAAAAAATAAGTGTCCACTTGTATTCATGGAAATGAATCCAAACCAGAGAATGCAATTCCTGAAGAAATTGCTAGTGGGAATGCTTTATGCTGAAAAGATGACGCTAAACTGCTATGCTGAAATGTAATGTGTAAGAATAAAGTGAAGAATTTAGATTGAACACTGGGGGCTTGAATATGTGAAGAGAGAAGAAAATATAGTAAAAAGGCTTGGAAAAGCAGAATATTTGAACTGCAAACTTTTGAACTAACTTGATTGTGAATGATCTGTCGCCATGCCAACGGCATTTGATGACATCCCATAATACGCTTAGATCGTTGCATCGTTACCAAACCTGTGAAGTTTTGGGCCATTTGGACAATTTTCACTAGAGTTATGAAAAAACCGTGTTTCATGGCGAGCATTGTGTTGCCATGGCAACGGCATTTGAAGAAATCTCAAAACTGTCCCGTAGATGTCTTCACGGCTGGACTGTTAGCACACATGTGAAGTTTGAGCACTTTTTTAACATTTTCATAGGAGTTATAGTGACATCGTCTTTTATTTCCATGGAAACGGCATATGATGAAACCCCATAATTGACGTAGAGCCGTTGAGGGCTGAACCGTTAACCATTATCTGAAGTGTGGTGCTGTTTTGACCCTTTTCATAGGCGTTACGACAACATTGTGTTTTATGGCGAGGGATGCGTTTCCATGGAAACGGCATATGGTGAGATGTCAGATTTGACGTAGAGCTGTTGAGGCATGGAGAGGTGATATACAGGTGAAGATTGTGGGACGACCGGACCGTGTCCATTGGAGCTACAGCGACATCGTGTTTTATGGTGAGGGATGCGTTTCCATGGAAACGGCATATGATGACACCCCATAATTGACGTAGAGCTGTTGAGGGCAGGACCATTAACCATTATCTGATGTCTGCTGCTCTGAGCATGTCAGTTGGAGTGACATCATCGTGTTCCATGACACAGGTGTTTATATTTGAGCTAACGACGTGTCCAGAGATCAAATGTTTCCATGGTGATCAAATAAATGTGGCAAAGGCTCAAATTTGTTGAACAACACATTTGTAACAGGTTTGTTAATTGACCAAAAAATATGAACAGTTGGAAGATTGAAAATGGGATTATTATTAGGATTATTTGTAGGTCATTGAAAAGTAGAATCATTTAAAAAGATGTGGACATTGAAGTTTATATTTTAGAAAAGCTGACACTGTAGTACATCACTGGTTTTAAAAGTGATTTATAAGAGTCATGTTTAAAGATGTGCAATACTTAAAATGTTCATAAAGGTCCTCTGAGTGTGTGTCATTAGTTAGCTGATAAAATGTTAGGGATAAATACCTTGACATATTGACTACAAGAGCTTGAATCAAACAAGCAACCTTGTATTTGAAAGATTAACTCACATAACAACAGTCATACCTGGTATATAAGTGGTGTGGCTGAGTACTTTAAAGGGTTCATGAATAGAGGGGACTTGAATGTGAAATAAGAACAAGAAAATAAAAGTCTAAATGCATGAAAAAGCAACAGAATATTTGAACTGAAAACTTTAGAACTAAAAGCATACGATACGTCACCAATAATGTCTAATATATGTGGAACATGTTGAAGTCAGTATGAAGTCTCCATCAGACTGAAAAGAATAAGCTGAGACAGTCTGTTAAACTCCAGTGACCACGTCATTCGTCTGCTGCTCTAATTATGTCAATTGGAGTTATGACATCATCTTGTTCCATGACACAGGTTTTTATATTTGAGCTAACGACGTGTCCAGAGATCAAAGGTTTCCATGGTGATCAATGAGCGGAGAGCATTTGCATTGTTCTGAATGAGAGATAAACCTCTTACATGTGAACGTTTTGTTGAAGAACCTTAACAGATATCGGTGAAATTTCAAAGCGTGAAGCATGCCAAGGAACTTGAGCATCTGAAGTGTACTTTTTGTGTACTTTCGGTTTAATAATGTGGCCTTTTTGGCAGTTTAACTAAAGGTGTGCGGCTGCTGTGGTGGGGAAAGGTGAGGCTGAACTTACAATGGGGTTTAATGGAGACATGTTGAAAGTGTTTGTCACTTCATGCCCTCAAGAGGCATTGTGTTTAATTATTTTGCTTAATTTTTTTTATCTGTCAAGCTACCAGATGTTTTCCTACGTTTCTCATGATAGATTATGTCTCAGGAATGTAGGGTTTGGGAATTATGGCAGGTTTAAAAGAAAATATGAAGGCAAAATTAAATCTGTCCTCCACTCTAGCTGTGACATCACACACTCTAAAATCTGAAGGCCTCTTTACCAAGGTCTGAACAATGTTTAATATCTCTAAAAGTATGTATCAGATTTCAAAGTTGTGTTACACGAATAATGTCAGAAAGATGTGTAACATTTTAAAGTTGGAATGAGGTTTCTGAGTGAAAGTATGAAGGAACAGTTAGCAGTTGAAGTCGCATGAAGATTGTTCAAGTCTGAAGAGTTCTCCATTGACTTCCATGTTAAAAATGGGATGTATTATGGGATGTATCTCTGGAATTATGAAAGTTATGAATGAGTAAAGTAATAGTCATCGATTCCCGACCGAGCTGAACGTTTTGATGTTTTAACGGAGTCTCTGCGATGTGGAATGTGGGAGAAGAAGAGGCGCAAAATAACCCGGCGGAATAATAAAGAATTTTGTGCGTAGCATAACAGATAGTTGGAATGCTGTGTTAGCATTCCCACTAAATGAGTGTGTAGGCTTGGTGAGTAACAGATTAAAATGTAACGTAATTACCAGTGGTGTAAATTAACTAAGTACATTTACACAAGTACTTGAAAAAGAGTAAAAAAACGAGGAATTTGTATTTAAGTTGAGTAATTTTCAAAGTTTGCTACTTTATACTTTTACTGCACTACATTTTGTAGACAAATGTTGTACTTTCTACTCACTCCATTTAATTACAGATGTAGTTAGTTACTTCGCAGATTTAAATTAAAATGCAAACTAAGAATTCACCAATACATTTCTATATGTTAAGCTAGTGGGTGTGTATAAAATAATTATAATAAAAGACACCTTTACCAAGGTCAAGTTATGAACACATTAATACATAAATTATTATTATATAATCATTTAAATGTGGTGCCTATGTGTGCCATTCTGAATGATGAGTACTTATCCTTTTGGTACCTAAAGTATATTTTGATGCCAATACTTTTGTGCTTTTAAGTAAGTACAATTTTTGAATGCAGGACTTTTACAAGTAACTGAGTCATTTGACACTGTCTTATTGTTACCTATACTGTAGTAAAGTATCTGAGTAATCCCTCCAACCCTGGTAATAACATCATCAAATGTAAAAATATAGACTGTATTCTCATACAGTTACAGAAATAAGACGTAATCACATTCCTCGTTCATTTTTTATTTTTTCATACATATGCTTAATAAAAGGCAGGCTTCTCTTAAAGACAAAACAATGAGCAGAAGATACCTTTTTTGTTTTCCAGATATCTTTGTTTATTCTTTTCTAAAGTATAGCATTTCTGTCGTCTTACATCAACTTAAGTTTACTCCATCTTATCGATATTATTTTGTTCTTGTATCTTCAATTTAAAAAAAATTATTTATCCAGGTAAAATCCCATTGAGATCAATGATCTCTTTTTCAAGGGAGACCTGCAGATCAATTGTCATTGCATTTAATAAAGACAATACAAAACAAAAGTAATGGACTGTTATCAGGTCCCATTAGTTGTATTTTGTGAGACTGGCATTAGGTTACTTGAATGGTTTAAAAGGCCATTTGTAATTGTAATGGAAGACCTTTTTTTAAAAAAAGTAGTACTCCTAACCCTGCAAGTAACCATTATGTTGAAAAGATTTACCAAGCTTTAAATGTAAGTGGCCTGTCTCCTGTGCGGGTTCTCAGGTGTCTCTCAAGTAATTAATTATAGTTACAATCTTTTCTACATTTGTTATATTTTAAAGGCTTTTAACCCGAGTCAGTATAACCATGCAACTCTGACAAATTTGTGTTGTTTACATTATTATATTGAATTTTGTGATATTCATTCTGTGGTCTTGGCTCTGCATGTCCAGTTGATCCAGAGTCTTGCTCGCCTCCTTCCTGATCTTGGCTCTCAGCTATATGAGAGTTGTGAGAGAGGAGCTGGTGCTCACCCTCCTCCTCAGTAGCAGTCAACATGAAGGCATCAGTGTCCTGCTCCAGTCCAAGCTGCTCTCCCTCCGGACTGGTGCACAGCTCCTCCTGCTCCTCTTCAATCAGTGGAGGCTCTGTGCTACAGGGATTCAACGTTTCCCCTGTGTGTGTTCCTGTGTGGCTTCCCAAGTTACTACTGAATATGGCATTTTTACCGGACACGTTTCCCACATGTTTTGCAAGATCATGGCTTCCCCTCATGTGGAATTTCAGATGATTTTTCAAAGCTGATGATCGACAGAAACCTTGCCCACACGTCTGACACGAAAATGGCTTCTCCCCTGTGTGAATTCTCACATGCTCTTTCAAGTGACTATTTTTTTTGAAAGCTTTCCCACACATTTGGCACAAATATGGCCTCTCACCTGTGTGGATTCTTGTATGAATGATTAATTCTGATTTATTAGCAAATATTTTCTCACAAATGTTGCAAGAAAGTGTTTTTTTTATTGTGTGGATTTTCAGATGTTTGTCCAGTGATGATTTTTCCTGGAAATACATTCCATATGTATCACATTTTAAAGACTGTTGAGTATCACTGTGCATCTCTGACAAGTTCATGTTGTTTACATCTTTACTTTGACTTTTGCCTTTGTGATGTGGTTTTGGCTCTGCATGTCCAGTTGATCCTGAGTCTTGTTCGCCTCCTTCCTGATCTTGGCTCTCAGCTACATGAGAGTTGT